GTGGAAGCCGTACGGCTTCAATAAAGTTTTTATTGTGTAAATATAAAACGTTGTTTTTAATTACTTATTATAATTTAAAAAATAACCCTTTGGTTTCAAAGACTATAAATTTACTTATTTCTAAATATATTTGAGATATTTGCCTCTGTTAGTCAATATCTCATTAAAAAAGTATTAAAAGAACAAAATAACATTTATTTTATGTCTAATGTCATTTGTTCCATTTTTTATTGTTTCAAATTTTTCAATCTAATTTTCTTATTACTGATACATTTTTACATATTTGTTATACACTTATACACATAACAGTTTGTCTTTCACTAAGAACACTTTTGGGTGAAAATTTAGACTTAAATTAAAACTTATTGATCTCTTTTCAACTCTGATAATACAGTAGATATGGGTGCTATTGTGAGTTGTGGTAATGGAAAGATCCTAATGTTATCAATCACACTGACTACTAAAAGACCACTTAATTTCTTGAAGCAAAGGAACAGGAATAAAAACATCAAAATTTACTTAATAATGATCAACTAAGAACCAAAGTTAATATCAGATCTCTTGATCTTAAACAGTAACCTCCAAAAATGACAACCGATTGCTCTAGGATGGTATTAAAAAACAAAGAAATTTTTATTATTATTTCTACACACACACAAACAAATTTGTATTAATAATTACTTAACCTCAAAAACAAAGGGAAACATTGAGATGTTATTCAAATAGCTGGGAAGTTTATAATATCATGTAAAAATGTACTTCGTCTGGTAAAGGTATAAACTGAATCTATATGTGAAGTTGTCTCTTTATACTTTCAGTGTATCCTACTTTACGATTGGTTTAAAAAATGTATCTAACATTACAAATGGCTTAAAACAATGTAACTTACTTTACAAATGGTTTAAAACAATGTATCTTACTTTACAAATGGTTTAAAACAATGTATCTTACTTTACAAATGGTTTAACACAATGTATCTTACATCACAAATGGCTTAAAACAATGTAACTTACTTTATGAATGGTTTAAAACAATGTAACTTACTTTACGAATGGTTTAAAACAATGTATTTAACATTACAAATGGTTTAAAACAATGTAACTTACTTTACGAATGGTTTAAAACAATGTAACTTACTTTATGAATGGTTTAAAACAATGTAACTTAC